GGGTGGGGGGAGGGTTGAGGAGCAGTGTGATCGCGATCAAACAAAAAGTAAATAAGTGACCCGTAAAGGGGAAGGATTTGTAGAGAGAAAGAATTTAATACGTACTCCAAGAATGGGATCTTCAGGAGCTCGAACAATGTTAGCAAACACAGAAGAAGACTCCATCACTTCCTTCCCTTCGATTGATCAGAAACAATCACTGTGTAATAAACCTGTAGTGCGACTGTTATTTGAGACTGGAGAGAGAGGAATGAACTTTTTCCTTTTCCTTTATTAATTTGTCGTGTGTCTGTTTTATAATTAAGTAGTTTTATAATACTGTGGGCGGCTCTTCTTCAGGGCTCAGCCTTCCTGCCAAGGGTCAAATGCCTCCCGGGAGGAGTGGGCGCCCCTTGTAACGCTTTACCTCTTGAGCACATTGTTTGACTCCATATTTTCAATTTCGTTATGTCATCAAAAATCGCCGTACTATTTAAAAAAATAAAATGGAATAACTAGGAATAAATTTTATCTTGTTCGGTTCTTCCTAGATTGTTTTGGTCAAATGGTAGACGAGATGTTGCAGTTTTATTTTGTCTTTCAAAAATAATGTTTTTTTTATGTTTATATTTTTTTATTTTATTTTCAATGATTAGTTTTTATAATTTATTATGATTTGTTTTTTTAAGATTATAATCGTGCTAGGATTAAAATAATTATAACATATAAGAGAGTGAATAAGGTATTTTCACGGGTAATAACAATTATTTCAATTAACTAAATTAAACATAATTAACTAACATTATAATTAAAGTGATTAAAGTAAATAGGATAAAAATTACAAACTTGATTTTTAATATGGTTTGGCAAATCTATATTAACATTTTTAGCACCAAAATGGTATTGAGTTTCATATTTTTTACTAGTCTGAACCAAAAATTAAAATGTTCTTTTGATGAATTTTCACCAAGCTCTTTTTCACAACTTAAGAAATATTTCTTTAAAATTTTTTATTTTAGTAATATACATCACCAATGATCAAGAGTTTTTCACTTAAAATTATTGAAGGATTATAATTTATTTGAAATGTAACAATACTCTCTCACAAAGTGGGCTATATAATTGAAATTTATGTCTATATATAGTTCACTCAATCACACATAGAATGTATGAAAGTGTTTAAGCATAGCGAGTATGAGATTGTAAACTCTTATGCAAAAATATGAAGGTTTTAATGTACAAATACGAGTATGATTTATGATTAATGATTTATGATATATTTTCAATGTCAGTATTTAATTCTATGATCAGATAAGTTATATATATATATTTCTTGTAAAAACTAGTTATTTTATAGTCGTTATTATTCCTCTAATAGATAAAATGGTTAGCCAATTCAAATTAATCAAGTCAATCAATTAACTACTTTATACATATTCTCAAGTTTATCCCAAATGAATAAACAGTTGATCGGTTCACTTAATATAATCATACATATGACAAGTTCAACTTAAAATTCAATTTTAATAATTTTAAACCTAGTGAATCCTTGACTAACTAAATATATATTAATTCTATAACACATGAAATGTGAAATTTGTGAATTGATTTTTAATATGTGCTATCAAGTTACATATAACAATTTACATTATTTGCTCTAAAATAAATCCTTAAGATCTAAATCTTCACTTATTTTGTTTATTGGACTTGTTGATTGATTTCTTCATTTAATTTTTCATGTTTGTTGATGATCTTCATATAAACTTAATTAAACTTATTCTCAACTAAGCATATTATTAGTTCAATTTTATTTATTAGTTATAATCAAAATACATAAAATATTAACATATAATCCAAAGGTCAACAATTATTTCAATCTCATAATCCATGTCACGGGTTTAAAAGATTAACACGATTGACCTGAGTTTTTTTGTTTATTTTTCATTGATATTTTTTTTTCAGTTTTATCATTCAAAATTTTTAATATTTAGTTGATTATGAATTAAACTTAATTATTTTTTTGTTTATTTTCTATAAAGTTATTTCAATCTCCTAACTTGAATCATGAGTTTACGAGTTAACCCAAATAAAATTAGGTCATTTTATTGTGTTTTTTTTTCATATTAGATTTGTTCTAATTTCATCACTTAATCGAGAGTCAAGTTTTATAATTTTTTTTGAAATGATTTATATAAGGTTATTATAGTCTTATAACCCGAGTTATAAATTTAGAAAGTTGAGCCAGGCCGATCCAATATATTGTCATCTTAATATTTTGAAAACATAATGTCATCTTGAATTTTTTTTTTTTTTTACTCAAATTACATCCTCATCAGTCATCAAAGTTTTCTTTGAACTTGCCAAGTTGATCGGGTTACATTAAGTCAAATATAATAAGGTATTTAATAATAAATAAACTATGTTTTATATTGTAGAGCTCACTAAAAAATTGAGTTAGAAATATAAATTATTGTGAAGCAGTTTTTAAATGTTTTTTTAATTGAGTTTAATAAAATCATATATATTTTTTTGTTTCAAAAATATTTTTCAAAAATTTTATTTTTTCTTTGCTTTAAATTGATATATTTTTTGTGTTTTCAGATCATTTTGATGATCTAATTTTAAAAATATTTTTTAAAATAAAAAATTATTTTTATATATTTCAAAGTAAAAAACACTTTGAAAAGTAACCACAACCACACTTTTATTAAATATTTTATAAATATATTTTACTATATATAAACTCTAACTATAATTTTTACTATATATATATATATATAAATCCAACTTAAGTATATTTTTTTTATTAAAAAAAAAAGAAGGAAAGATCCGTATATAAAAAAGAGTGAAGGAGTTATTAACAACACCCTTTTCGAGAAACAAGAATATCTTATGATTATTAATGTGAAATCAAGAAAGAAATAATACCGTGCCGCAGAGAAACTTTGTGAGGAAAGAAAAAACGTGTAGGAAAGAAATAAAGCAAAATTAGAGTATGGGTTAGCATGTGGATATTTTTTAAATATTGTTTTTAATATTAATTTCAAGAGATATTATTATAGTAAATCAAAGGGTTTATTTTCTAATTTAGTTTTATATTTTTTTTATAAATTGAATTCTATCTCAAATTCAAATCAATATTTTTAAAAGAATTTCAAACATAAAAATTCATTTAACCCTCTCAATTAAATCTAATTAGCAGGATTTCAAATAGAATATAAGAAATACTTGGAAGTTATTGCACATACAAAAATACAAACCATCTGGACCATTGGAATTTTTTTTACCACTTGTCATCTATAGAGGCATTCTAAGGCCTTTATAATATACGAAAGGCACTCTAAAAACCACCACTATGACATAAGTCTTTCCGATCACTGCATTATGGTGTTCGTTTTGCCCGGCGAATGAGTGAAAAGATGTCTTTGCTACGTGCTGATGATTTTCTAAATATGGTGCTCCGTCCATTTCTTGAGGAACATTGCTGCGCCAAGACGATCGAGGCCATGAACTGGCTTAGTAAAACTAATTCAATATCAACTGACAGATACAATAATATTTAAAATATATCGAAAGCTCGTAATCCTCACCTGAAAGTGAAAACTGGGATTTGAAATCCTTGAGAGTATTGAAAGGCCATCACGAACAGGCACTACTACAGAAGTCAATACTATGTTTTAAATTATATATTAATCTAACTCGTTAATTAGCTAGACATGTCATGACCCAATATGTTACCTGAGTTAGGGTCTCCTTTCCCGGTGGAAATTCCCGACCACAGATTCCTGGTTGAGGCTGATTTCTGAGGGCAGGTGTGAAGGAAAAGAGGCAACTGCTCTGCCCCAAATTCATGCTTGGCCAACAATATTTTTGCGGGAGCTTGAGAATTCGAATCTCTGCATATATACAATAAAATACATCATGACATCAAGGCTCTTGTTTTCTAATTTATCTCCATTGATTCTTGCAGTGACGTATATGCTTAGCCTGATCAATGCACGTCTTGGTTGTGTAATTGTTATGGAGGCATATAAGTCTTGGTTGTGTAATTGTTATGAAGGCATATAAGTAGGTTATAGCTAGGAGACAAATGGCAGCGTGTACCTTGCATCCTCGTTTGATTTCTCAACGCTTGAAATTTCTGGTCAAGAGAAACAAACCATGTAAAATGAAGATTTACAGAAAATCAGCAGCAGAATTGACTTTTATTTGTATCTAGCTAGCAAAACAAATTTGATTGCTCATAACATAAAACAAAACAAATTAAAAAAAGAGTAAATATTTACGTGTTGACAAATAGCGGTGGTGATGTTTCGGTAAATATGCGTTCCACCTTACTCTTGTGAGAGCAACCCTGTGAGCATATTTTTCACATGAAAGCAGCCTCTAACACAACACACACAAAAAAAAAGGGTTAATTGATTAATAGCAGAGGCTATAAATTAATTAAGGAAGTTGTTCAGATGGTGACTAAGTGGCTCAAAATGGATTAATGTTAATACTGACTTGTTTCAGGCAATTAATTCTAAGCTCAGCCTCCGAAAACGCACAATTGTTAGAAATGCTGTTGTTAAGATTAGCAGAGACGCATCCAAGATGATCAACAACTGCAACAACTGCCCTACAGAGGTACTCTTTTGTGCTTTCCAGAACCCTGCAAAACCATGGATATAAACAGATAATGATCTTATTTCACCATGAGCAAGTATTGGTTTTCTCAGACAGAACTTGAGAAGTGAGAGTGCTTCAAAAAAATAGTGCAAACTAATTAGAATGGCCTAGCGGAGGTTGAGAACTCACATTCTTTTCTGGTTGGTGTTCAAGAAAGTTGTTTCACAGTGATTGGCTGCGTTATGGAGCTGAGAACGCAGGCCTCGAAGTTCCTATAAATGAATCATGAAACCCAACATCTATATATGATTTCCCTGGAAATTAAAGAATCATGAAAGAAAAACACAAACAAAATCAAGGGCAAAAACAATTAAGGAGTATATATACTTGAAGAGATCTGTCAAAGCGGATAATGTCTTGCGATTCATGACTTTCAGAATTTTCAGAGGCGTTTGATTTGGAGTTCTGCATTATTTTTGATGAAGTTCCTTCAAAATTACAGTAGAAGATAGAAGAGAAAGAAGGAAAAAAAATAAAAATATATATATATATAGAAGAATTTCCAAAGATAATGCAACCTAGCTAAGCAGTCTCTTTGCCTCTAGTTTATATTTAGATACAAACAGATACTAGCTAGACATTTGTGCCTCATGGAAGCTAAAAAACAAAAAGGCTAGTGTTACAGAGAACTCGTGATTTTTCCACTATCACGTTGGAGGTGGCCGAGCAGGAGCGAACAAAATAGTGTCCAAAAACCATTAATGAAAGATTCTTCAAGCCCACATGAGCTCTCTAAGTACAATAGAATGACAAGAAAATATCGCCCGCCCGTGATTTTATGTTCCTTCCTTTTCTCTCACTTTTCAAAAAAGTGCAGAAGCCTAGCTGACACCATGATTCCATGATTGAGGATTAGTGGAAAAATGCTATAATAAATATTTTTTTATTTAAAAATATATTAAAAAAATATTTTTATTTTAAAATATCGATTAAAAGGTATAAAAAAATTAATTTTAAATAAAATTTTTAGAAAATATAATTTCAAATACATTCTAAATTAGATTGAAATGACAAAATTATTCTTTTAACTAGACGAATATAGTAAAATTGTTTTTTTATCCTAACACAAAAATTATATGAGATTAAATTAATTATTTTATTTTTTTCACAATAAAATTATCGATATAACCCCATAATAAAATATTATAATGCCAATTATTAAGTAGCCTTTTGGCCTTTTTAATTTCTTTAAAATAGTATAATTATTTTGAAGTTCTTGAAGACAAAATCAACATAATTCTCTTTTTTTAAAAAAAATTACATTGTCTTATTGTACTATTAAAGTTTACTAGGGGCATTTTATAATTAATATATATTAAATATTATTAAAAAGTTATTGGTGTGTGTAATATGTACAAATATATGGATTGTAATTGCAATGTTCAGGTGGCACATTTTAATTACTACTTTTTTAGTTTTGAATAATCAATAAAATTATAAATATTTTTTTAATTTCACTCCTTATTATTTTTTTTATTTATAAATAATCTATCAAATTATAAATATTTTTTAATTTCTTCGTGTATGATTTTTTAGTCTTATAAATTATATTTTCATTTTTTTAGTTACTATATTTTTTGCTTTTGCAAGATTTTTTATTAATGTTTGTTTTCATGATTTTATTTTTTAAAAATTAAATTAATTAAAAATTAAACTTTTTAACTAAACTAAGGTCAATAATTATTATAAATTGAGAGTTTTAGAGATTAAAATAGATTCTAAACTAAGGTCAATAATTATTATGAATTGAGAGTTTTAGAGATTAAAATAGATTCAGAAGGTTCGCTCAAATTTACTTATTTTTTTTAAGTTGATATTTTTTTATTTTTTTAATCTTTTTTATAGTGTTGTTACGGGGATGGTTTTGAATTCATAACCAGAACAATTAGTTTCAAAGATTAATGTAAGTTATTTTTTAATTGATATATTTTAATTTTATCATTTAAATATATTTTTTTTTACTTTTCTTTCTATAAAAATATCTTAGTTTTTTTCCCATGATTGTGCAATTTTTTTTTCAGTTTATTTATTGTTTTTGTATTTTTTTTAATATTATTTAAATTATCAATGGCATAAATGACTTATGTCTCGATTGTTTTACCTAGCATTCTTTTTATACATTGAAAAAACAATTGCCCAACATGTGATGGAGTGCGGGCATGAAATCTAGTCATTAATTGTATTAAATATGTGTCGTACTTGGTATTATGGCAGGATGGTGGCTAGGAAAGTTGGCCAAATGGCAAGGAGAGATAAGAGAGGGGTCTGGGTTCTTATTAAAAAAAAAAGAAAAAGGATTAGGTGTTTTTCTTAGGAGAGAGGTGATGAGGAAGAAGAGGATTTGAAAATTTGAAAATTGCTTTTGAAAAAAAAGTTTTTTTATTTTTGTATTTTAAAAAAATTATTAATTTTAAATTAATATATTTTTAGTGTTTAACAGCTATATTTTCAAATAAATAGATAATCGACGAATAAACGTAAAATGCCTTTTGCTTTTCCATTTCTTCATTTGACATAAGGTACGGCACTCTTTCTTGTCAAGAAAAAATTGATTTAAATCCATTAATTAGAGCACAAGATAGTGAAATAGCCTATCCTTATTGGCTAGTTGGTTTGCCATACTTTTTATTCTTTCTTTTTTTTCTATTTTATTAGAATACATGGGAATTTAGAGTTACATTTATTGATACCATTGGACACCATGATTTCATCTCAGACCCATGTTTTTTTATATGAAAAATTCCTTTTAAATGGCGAGCCATTCAACCAGGGATCTACCATAGTCTTGCGCCAGTACAAGCTTTCAACAGATATAAAATTGACTATTGATCGTCTCTCTCAGCTCGAAGAGGCTTCCCCCTAGCTAGCGCATTTCAAAATATGCTAAAGCTTGAAAGCCCAGTACATATGGTTAGTACTAAATCATGAAATAACACCTATTATTGGTATAGTGATGAATTCAAATGGTAACGAGATAAAGTGCTATATTTCTTGGGAATCAAGACCATTTTTGGCCTAGAAAATCAAATTGATAGTCATGGCACTCTCCTATTTCTAAGAAGAATTTTTTAGTCTTTCTCGCATGAGCCTCCTATTTCTAAGAAGAATTGATAGACATCTTGGCAAGCTAGATGTACATATGAAAAAAAGAGATTGATTGTGCTAGATAATCATTTTTAAAATATAAATGTTGGATATGAGAAGATGACGAATACTAAGTTGGGTTTTTAACCTATTTGTTGAATTTTTTTTCTTGTTCAAATTAAAAAAATATATATTAAATAAATTAAAACAAAATATATGACTCAGGAGATGATGAATACTAAGTTGGGTTTTTAACCTATTTTTTGAATTTCTTTTTTTTCTTGCTCAAATTAAAGAAAAAAATATTAAATAAATTAAAACAAAATATATGAGCGAAAATGCAACATATGTGCGAACCCTTTAGCTAGTTGAAACAAAAGGCAGAAAAGAAGTTACTAATTGTAAGAAATGAGGTGTTTGAGGTACTCAGTGACTTTCACAATATTTTATGAGCCACTTTGTTTATATTTTCAAAATTTTTGGGAATTCTCTAATTTTTGTATTCCTTTAAATTATTTTCACTATAAATGTTGTACAAACAAATAGTTCGCACAAACTTAGAGTAACTCCTTTTATCATAGAAAAACAATTATTTGTTATTTAGAATAAATAGTTTATATATATCATAACATTTTTTATCTTTTTTATTTTTTTAAAAAATCCAAAAAAATAACCAGAAAGCAACAAAAAAATTCAAAAAAATATATTTTTGACACTTTTGCATCATTTCAGCATTTTCAATATCTTTTTTAAAAAATCAAAAATTTAAAAATTTACTTTTAACATGTTTATTTTAAAATTATTAATCAATTTTATTAAGTTGATATTGACATTATTTTTTTAATATTAAAATAAATAAATAAACTAACAAAAATGTTTGGACAAGAAAACCATATATGCAAAGGAACAAAATGTGGACCAAAGTAATTTTGTGTTGCTTAAGGACCAAGTAATTTGGAGAAAAAACACAAGTGCACCGCCAACCAATGACCGCCTCTCAGCCCAGTAGCTTTAGCAGCCACATATGACAGCATCAAGGCTTGCCACCGTGAGCAACAGCAAATCCCACCAACGCTTCTCGACCGAGCTGCATTGTGACCCAGCCACACACCTCCAACCAACAACCTCCTCTCAACAATGTCATCTCATCGTCCTAGCCAACAACCCAGGGCGACCTTCGCAATGCCACACCACCTTCACAACGACCCATAGCAATTCGTCATAGGAGGGGACAGTAGACAAAAAACTAGTGAGGAAAAAGAAAAGAACAAATCTAATGAAGATGAAGAGAGAGGAAGACCAAACCTTCAATCAAGCATATCTCCTTCCTCAGATGTTCATTTGTCTCACCACTAGTGTAGGAACAAAGAGGAGGCAGAGGAGTACAAGATTCACCATTCCACGCTCCTCCAGTAGCAGTGACGCATGAATCCACACACAGCAATGATGGGGGCGCATGGTACTTGTGTCACCAATGTT